GGGGGGGGGGGGGGGGTTCCAAACCCATTTCCCATCTGAAATTTTGGCAAAATCCCAGTCCCAGTTGGATTTTTATTAGAAATCCCAGTCCCAGTTATTGAAATCCCAGTCAGTAGTATTACCCCCCCCCGTATAGGATCGGAAGTAATTAGTATGCAGGAGCGAATAGAGCGCCGGAAGTAATTAGTATGCAGGAGCGCCGGAAGTAATTAGTATGCAGGAGCGAAATGTGTTGGTGAAAACATGGGGTATATTTGAATCGGTGAGTAGTACAAGTTCAGTACGTACACGGTGTACGTACACGGTGTACGTACACCCTTAAACTACGTCATGATTATGCTTGTCTCTGATTGGTTAGCTGTCTTGGATGGAGAATATAAATAGAGGAGACGAGCGATTTTTGTTCATGTGCTTATAGTTCTTGTGAAGAGATGAAGTGCTTTCATCGCGAACCCGCTGCTCATTCGACAACTCAGAACGGTTCATTTTGGTTTTGTGGTCAAAACCCTACCTGCAATTTCTTCTGTGCAGAAGATGAAGACCATTTGTATGAAAAAGCTATAACTGCATGGAGAGCTACGAATCAGCCTCATCCTCGGTGCGATGAACATCATAAGCTTGCGAAAATGTGTGTGGTAAAAGATTTGATGAAAGTGAATTATGGAAGACCGTTCTTCGTGTGTGGAGAAAAGACGAAGCCTTGTTCCTTTTGGATGTGGGGTGATGTGCAGCCATTAGCGAAACCGGAATGTCGCCATGGATTACCGTGTGTGGTCTGTAAGGTGAAAAAAGAAGGTCTTAACAAAGATCGATTGTTCTTTAGTTGTCCTAATGACAAGGAGAGTTCGTGTAGGTTTTTCGAGTGGGCACCTGACGAACAATTGGGATTTTTTCAATCCGTGAACCTATCACTTTTTTCTAATGGTCCACTAGAGGGACAGAGTTGCAATAAGAACAGTTATTTAACAACTAAATTCATGCATGATTTTGCAAACGAGTTAAAGTTGTAGATAATTACGTGTAATTTTTTATGAAATGTTGTACATGATGACGTCAGTCATGATTTTTACATATAAATAAATTGTTTCACTTGTTGTATTCATTTGCTGTTGCAATGGAAGCGATACTAGATGGGCTTAGAGAAAATGGTTTTGACATGAGAACATTTTCCCATCGTGTCAGATATTTGTTTGAGTATCACGGAGCGCTGTACAGTCAAATGGTATTGAATGTTAATGCTAATGAGACTCGCATAAATTGACACGGCATAGTTCTTAAACTATTTATTTTTTAAAATACAGTACTTATTTACACAAATAAACAGTTCTTAAATCTATTATCCGGCTTTTACAGTGTTCTCCAGTTTAGATCATCCATCCTCCGTTTAGTAGTTCTGTCCTTTAATGCTCTACGGGCTTAACAAAGTTAACATCCATAACTTTGAATGCACGTCATTTCTTGTTCGTAAGCAACAAGGGTACTTTCTCGTAGTCGAGTAAATAAACTAAAATGCCAACCATTCCTTGTGGTCCTCCGATTTAGATTTTCGTTTACTATTGTCTCCATGCTTTAATCTTGCATTTTGTAAGTAAACGTTAAAGTTTCTCTCCATCTCCTCTTGTCGCTTTTGTAAATTTTCCAGACTCTTTTCTACGTTGAATTCTTTTGGCTCTTCACTCTGTCGAGGTACACAGATTCCTATTTTACTCCACTTCAACCATTTCTTGCGTTCCTCTGTGCTCATATCATGTACTTGATCGAGATGATTTGCTAACCTTGCAAGATTTGTACTACCACAACGAAATACAGGACAGTCCCTACGCGTGCGACCCATGTTTGCTCAACGAATTCCTATCAATAATTAGCTCATTTTTTCGAGTTCCGGATGTTATATTTGGCCCGATTAGGCCCGAAATGGCACTTTTTGGCCCGATTAGGCCCGATGGCCCGATTGCTGACTGGGCGTTCTAACCCAGGCAGGACAGCCA